ACAAGTTTCTACTTATATATATTTATTAAAAATTAGATCATTGGATAATGCAATTCAAGACTTTTTATTGGCTTAGCCATTATGGTGTATCAGCCAATATACCATAATCTACAAATATGGCAAGCATGCGTATCAGCTTAAAATTAAAAGGGAGCTAAAAATTTAATAATTTGTTTTTAATAAAACAATTATTCCACTCGCACTTGTTGAATGAGATGATTATAACCAACTCAGCGCTACGCTCCTCGTTGGCTATCTATCATCTCATATCCAACGCACACTCGTGGAATAATTGTTAAATATATATATAAGCGAAATAGGCAACGGAGAATCCAGGACAGTGCTCGACAGTAAAGGAGCGATTACAGTAGCAAATGGACTACTCAAGTTATGCATATATGGATTTTAATACAGCCTGTTTCGTAGACCAACAAAAGTTGATCCACTCATCAGTCAAACTCCATACACAGTGAGGCATCGTGACGATGAACTCTAACTCAGCAACGTGATCACGTGACATTGTTTAAAAAATTCAAATCTTGAAAACCGTGCGCGCGCCGATAATAGTGTTAAGAATACTTGATAATATATTTTCGCTGATGTCTACAACTGGATATTATTTCACTTCGCTTGTTAAAAAATTTCTCCTTGGAGTGCTCGATGTAGAAATGTGCAGAGCAATATACAATGTGAAAGAAGGAAATTATTACTAGTTACTCGAGGTTCACGCTCTAGGGGATCATCAGACTGAGATCGAGAGTTGTCTACGAGCTCGTGGACAACTCTCAGTCTGATGATCGCCTAGAGCATGAAAATCGAGTAACAAGTAATAATTTCCTTCTTTCACATTTGTATCTATATATATATAGAAAGTTTAAAAATTGTTTCCGTCAGAGACCTTCTTCAGTTATTTACAGTTTTTGAAATAAATAAAGAACATTAAATAGGATCGAAGTGTTAATGATTACGTAATTACAGATAACGACTAATGAACTGGTGCTAACAAAAAGATAACAAAAAACTTAATTACAAAGAAAGCAATGGGCAAAATACAAGAGACAAACACTAAAAATCTAAGAGATAAGAATACTAAATATGTTAAAATGAGTGGCGTAACCAATTGCAAAGAAGCAAAGCGGCAAGTATTAAAAAAAGGGGAGGCCCACTTTTAACTACAACTGTAAACCGCAAAAAAATCCCAAGACAAGGCCTTTGGAGCCCGAAAGGGCAAATTAGCAACAAAATCCTTTAGGGGGCCCTTAAATGATACTATTCATAATAAGATTCCTTGGCAGAGCCTCTGAGTCCAATCCACACCTAAACTCACTTTGCTCATTTGCTTTGAGTACTCAGGCGTGTACCATGTACTGGTACTTACAGCCAGAAAGTACATTATGCTGCATAAAATTGCCTTATGGGTAAAACCTTAGTACAACGGACACGTCTCTAAACCGGACATATCCTCCAGTCCTGAGGGTGTCCGTTTTTGAGGGGTTCTACTGTATTCGCATGACCTTAATGTTTGCGTCAGGAATGATACTGTGAAGAGAAATTAGGGGCTAGCCACCCTTAATGGTTAAAGATGAGATATTCCTGGAGGCAGGGGAAAGTGAAATTTTACGCAGATATGAAGTTGTTCATCTTGGCTTGGCCCTCTTCTTGACGAAGGTTGGTGACAGTCTCCTTTTTGAAGTTGATCATGTACATTGTGAGCATATCCTACCTTTGTAATGCAAGTTAAACAGTTAAATGAAATCAGGGATGTTGACACTTTACCCCAGCGTAAACTGAGCATTATATATGAAAGCTATAAATCTCCTCGGGATTGTTTGGCAGTTTGTCGTCGATTTATAATACTTTGGGCTGTATAGGTTCTGTTGGTTTCAACAATTTTTAGAAAAAAAAATTTCCGACTACCAGCACTTAGATATTTGAAAAAAGAACCCGGTGACCTCACGCAACTTCTAAGTATTCTGAGTCAGCGTAAACCGCACGCTTTATATGAGATTTATAATTCTTTTCGAGATCGCTCAGCAGTTCCTCATCGACATAAAGTAGCTTGGATTGTATAAGTTGTCTCAGTTCCTGAAATTTTTTAAACATTTCCGACTGCCAGTCGTTTAGTTACATGA